CACTCAGAGTGTTTTCTTTTTTCTTGGTGTTGAGCTGTAGGCCCTTTTCTTCGCTTTTCTCTGTCACAATAAACATCAATTATAAACAGATAGTGTCCAACAATTTGCTATAATAGTATATGGCTGATATTCACAGGAATAACCTGAATTTTTTTGCTGATGATAGTAGTGATGATAGCCGGTTACTGATAACTGGATTTTTAAAAATTGTTTGTAATAACTTATTAGTACATGTATGATAAGTAGCCTATTATTATAACTTTCAAGGCAATGTTCTTTCTTTACAAATGAAGTGGCTCGAAAAAAAACACGTTATGGTTCATCTTAATTATTATTATTGTTTCATGTTCTTTTCACAGTAGGTCTACTTTATGAATATTGTTCCAAGGTGTCTGGAGACGGAGCAACATGTCCCCTTGTCTACCATTCACATCTACCTCACCAGCAATGTTTCTTTGAATGCCTGCTGATGACAAACAGACTGAACTGTATGAGATTTCTTCTCTGTGACACTGATGTAGGAATAATAGCAGAATTAAAACGTAACAATGATAGTTCGAGTTTGATGTCTTTTCGGTTGTAAGAGTACGATGTTTTGTGAGCTTTGGTCTTTTCTCTTCAGACCTGTTCCTTTTCAACAATTCGGCCTTCAAATGACTTCAACTTCAATGACGAGTTGTCTTAAGTCAAGTTCACGCTAAACCCGGCAAGTTGCCGCCATCCAGCTGCCATCGGCAACTCCCTGCCATGCAATGTTTACAGTAGAGCTGGCAGTTACTGTCCGGCAAATTGATGACACACATTGATGGGAAATACATGGCGCTTTCCAGGTGGAATGGGAGAAACGAATTATATTGCTGAGGTGGATTTTACAAAACCGATTATTGAAACGGAATTTTCGAAAATATGGTGTTCTCCCCAATTCACTGCAATCGTAACGTGAATGGGGAATACCATCATTTGATTCCGCAATTGATGGACGATACCCAGAATGTGTTAATTACATACGGATGCCCCCAGAGACTTTTCAAGATCTACTTACCCAATGCAATGTAGATTTGTACAGCTATAATAAGTTTCTCTTCGTCCATTTCGCGGGAATTGACTGCGAATCAAGGGCATTTACTATGTTGGTACAGTCGGAAATTGATCCCCTAGGACCATCCAGCCATTATATTTTGCTTAGTGTTCACAGGGCAAAACAAATTGCTGGCCGACTGCAGCTGGCTTGTGCTGGAAGCAGTCTTAAACGTGTATATGGCTAGGGTGACACGGACAGACAGGGACAGCTACTTGCTGTCGCACAGGGACGGACAGGCACAGGGGAATGTGGTCACAGTCACATTCAAACAGGCAGCAAGAGACAGCAACATTGTCAATCATGGCGCTGGCAAAGAAGAAGAAACTCTTATGATTATTGTGGTTACAAACAGGAGAAGTGGTGCACGCACTTTTCGAATTTTCCTGGCTGGCTGTTGCTGTCTGTGCCTGTCTGTGTTCAACATAGCCGGGTTGGTGTATTTTAAAAGAAATCATGAACTGTTTTGGCGTGCACGCTTTTGATGTGTTGCTATGACAACAACTGACTGTCCTTGCCCGTGTCACCGTGTCCCTAGCCATTTGGATCAACCAGCTGCCATCAGCAACTTCTTGCCATGCAGTGTTTACGGTAGAGCCGGCAGTTACTGTCCGGCAATTTGATGCCACACTTGGATGGGAAAATACATGGCGCTTCCCAGGAGAAAGAAACAAATTGTATATTGCTGTGGTGGATTTTACAAAACCGATTACTGAAACGGAATTCTCGAAAATATGGTGTTCAACCAATTCATTGCAATCGTAGCGTGCATGAGCTACATCATCTTTTGATTCCGCAAGTGAAGGACGATACCCAGAAATGATAGATCTATCTCAGTTGTGATAGTTTTTTGTTCTCTTTGTTGTATATCACCGATCTCTTAGGACAGCAATGATATTAAACTTCTCTTCGTCACGCCTTTTTTCCTCTTTCCTGCCTTGAAAACTGGTGATACACGTTCAGATTGCCGCCAGCACCCGCTGTTTGACGTCAGCCAGCAATTAGCTTTGCCGAGTGCACACAAAACAAATTTTAATGGCTGGATCGTTCAAGGGAAGTAATTTCCCACTATACCAACAGTGTGAATGTCCTTGATTCGCAGTCAATTCCCTCCGGGCAAAATGGACGAAGAGAAGCTTAACAATATGTGAGGCATCGTGGTGGAATCAGGCTCTCGCCATTTTTGGGCATGTGGGGTTATTGGTATCGTCTTAAAGCTTGTTCCATTGCCTTTACTTGGATGAAAAAAATATCAATTTATCTCGAATACAAATACAAGTCGATATATTTACGAATGAAGGAGGCGGGGCTCACCTGTTTTCAGAGGTAAAATTAGTGAGAAAATGACCGCCAAAGATTAGTTATTTCCTTAGCTTGAGAGTCCATGGTAACTGAAAATTTACTTTTTTTGTGCCTTTAAACAACGCTTTTGAGAAGAATCCACACAGAAATGAGTTCTTTAATGGGCAAGAAAAGTGTTGAGCCAAAAAACAAAAATTTGATTAAAATTCACAAACCTGGGGGAAATGCAAGTTTCTTCACTTTGATTGATTATTTTGACGAGAGCCCGATTCCACCACGCTGCCTCACATATCATTGCTGTCTAAAGGAGATTGGTGATATACAACCAAGTGAACAAAAAACTATTACAGCCGAGATAGATCTATCATTTCTGTGTATCGTCCATTACTTGCGGAATCAAAAGATGGTGTTCGCCTCGCACGCTACGATTACAATAAATTGGGTGAACACCATATTTTCGAGAATTCCGTTTTAATTTCAATATTCGGTTTTGTAAAATCCACCTCAGCAATATAATTCGTTTCTTCTTCATGGAAAAAGCCGTGTATTTTCCCTCAATCCGTGAGATCAAATTGTCGGACAGTAACAGCCGGCTCTACCGTAAATACCGCACGGCGGGAAGTTGCTGATGGCAGCTGGCTAACGGCAACTTGCCGGGTTTAGCGTGAACTTAGCCTTAGACAGATTGAAACTTTCACGATTTGAAGTCCGTCTGCATTAAGTACGACTCCGTAAACCTTCAAGAGAGCCGTGCATTCTCTTTTCTGCCCATCTCGCCCCAAGTTACACCCAAAATGTTTACTTTTTTTTGGGGGGGGGGGGGCTGAGCATTATGTTACACAGATAGATAGGTAGATAGATAGATAGATAGATAGATAGATAGATAGATAGATAGATAGATAGGTAGGTAGGTAGGTAGGCAGGTAGGCAGGCAGGCAGGCAGGCAGGCAGGCAGGCAGGCAGGCAGGCAGGCAGGCAGCCAGGCAGGCAGGCAGGCAGGCAGACAGGCAGGTAGGCAGGTAGGTAGGTAAGCAGGTATGTAGACAGACGGACAGATACGATAGATAGATTAGATATATGTAATGTGTATGACAACAGGGTGTGGTGAGAGAGACAAGGGGAGGAAAGGATTGAGAGAGAGAGAGAGAGAGAGAGAGAGAGAGAGAGAGAGAGAGAGAGAGAGAGAGAGAGAGAGAGAGAGAGAGAGAGAGAATTAAGACATATTATGGACCTTAAGATGCACAAATGAGCTATCCTGCATTTTGTCAGTTTTTTCATTTTGATATCCAGTCTCAGAATAATCATTGGGCTATCCCCTGTCCCTTGACAAATTTGTTTCACTGTCCATACTTTTCTTATAGGTTGGTTATACCAACTTTGACAGAGTACCAACATTTTTGTCAAGGAATAGGGAAATTCATGCGGAATAGAGACTCAAGACAGAGCACAACATGGGGACAGCCCACTGATGATTCCGATACCAACATTGCCTGATTAAGGCAAATAGCCGGATGTACAAATATAAGTGTCCGGATTTTGGCGACTTGTAATAATAATTTTAAGAAATGGAGGCAGACGCTTTTTCATATCAGAGGTAGTTTTTTCCACTTTAAGTTATGAATAGGTTACAAAGTGTCACAGCAGGTATAAATAGGTATAAAACTTCAATGGAAGAAGAAGAGAAATAAATGATATTCTCCGGCCGAGGATGTCAGTCCGCTATGCTACATACAGTCAGTCACTTTCATTGTACAGTATCGTAAATAATGCTCGGTACGTGCATTCTACCAGAGCAGTAACACGCGCACACTCTGCATTCTCCCGCAATGGCAATCCAACGGAGATAAATGGTGGGGAAAACCACAAATGCAGTGTAAATCACCTCGACTAAATTGCATTCCAGGAGCTGAGCCACGTACGAATGGACTTGTATTGTTTAACAACGAAGAACATTTACTAGACGTTGCTGAAGACGGATAACGAAGATGTAAAACAAAGCACTTCCTCGCTGGGACATGTTTTACCCGCCAACTCAAGGACTGTACGTACTGTGTCGATGCTTTGTCTCCTTACGGCATCCCACCCCACACTTCCCTCTCTCTTTCTAGCCCAACTCCCATCTCTCTCTCCCTCCCTCCACCCCCCTCTCTTTCTCTCTCCCTCTCTCTCTCTCTCTCTCTCTCTCTCTCTCTCTCTCTTCACTAATTTGAATATGTACCTTTCCCGCTGTGAGTTGGTTTGGTTTGGCTCGCTGCACTGTGCCTATTTCTGAGAAGTTGCAAGTGGGACCTCTGCCAAGTTCAGGTTCCACGGGACATCAAATTGCTGTTCGTCGATGCTCTGTATGTGTGGGTATACTTACACAAGGATAATATTATTCTGTTGAATGCTGAAGTGATACATCTCATTGCATGGATCTTTTAAGAGCTTTTATTTTTTTACTGTGAAAAGGAAAAAACTGTTGAATTCTTTCTATTATATGTACTATATTATCGTGGCTCACATTTATAAAAAGAAAGC